TGAGATTAACAATTAAAAAAAGAGAAATCTTAGTCATTTGGTCAGATTTGGGAAAGTGTTTAGTTTAAAACTAAGAAAATTTCAGAACTTACTTGCATAGCAATTGTGCCATATTTTCTTTTAAGAAAAAGTGTGTTATAATTAATTCATTAAAATTATAAAAAAGAAAATTTTCTTGGATAACTGCAATTATATCTTAATGCACTTTCAAAGACACTCAAAAATATTTTCCTCAGTTAGACTATGATTTACAGTATAAAAGATGTCTCTCAAAGTGCACTTGCGAAAAATCTCCGGTAAGGGAGATAATTCAAGAGAACCCAAAACTATGAACAGAACTGATTGACACAGTAGAATATTTTGTGACAAAAGGAGATTTTTAAAATATTTCAAAAATCAACTGCGCTTTATTATTAAAAAATCTATCTATATCCACTTTGCATCTATCATAAAATTTCAATTTTTCATATTTCTGTAACTAGAATGGAATAACTTACAAAATTTTATCATTTTTATATAATCATTATTTTATTTGCTTTTTGATAAATAATAAAATAAAAGGTAAAATAATTTACATTTTGCAGTGGCGCTGAAATCTTCCATAATCAAATTAATTTTTTATTTAAATGAGGAGGTGCTGAAAAGTTCTCAACCCAAATCACTTCCTCAAAATCTGACCAAAGGACCACACAAGAAATTATTTTGGAATCCTTTCTTGGTCAACCCTCAAACTTTTCAGCATTCCTTCAAACATAGATAAATTAAAAACAATTCTTTTATACTCTTTAACTTTGAGGTAAGATCATTTCTCTTATATTTTAATTAGTATACATGAAAAATAATTATCTTTCTTGAGAATAAATAGGCTTTTCTATTATTAACTCAAAAGGAATTAAAATTATTAATGTACTATTTTTAAAATATTCAATGCAAGGTTTTATCAGTTCTATCAAATGACCTATTACAAGTTACAAAAAAAAAAAAAAAAAAAAAAAGATTTCTTCAGTAATCCTAAGTAATCAAAGAAAAATACATTTTTACCAAGCAATAATATTTAAGACTATAATTTTGAAGTTTTATACTTTTCCATTTTCAACATTTAATGGGAATAGATTATCATCATTCTGCTGTTTTTGGATGTTTTGTTCTTAATTAGTACTGTTCAGTTACTGCTCACCCTGTTTCTACTGAATCTAAGATTGCACTACCTGTAAGAATGAGAAGTGCCAGTAAGGATGTAGCTGTAGCAGCAACAGTAACAAAAAAATAATTTCTGAATGTAGTAAAGTGTGACAGTAGAAGCACTATCAGCAGCAGGTGGGAACCTTAGATTTAAGGCCTCAAGTTCTAGAATCAGGATTATGACAGCAAGTATGTGAATCCATTGTACAGACTTAGACTCTGGAAATAGGCTGAGCAATAGCCGAGAAGTGCTAAAAAGAACAAGACAAGATATCCCAAGACATGGACAGCAGAACGAGAACAGTCTACTCCTGTAGATTAAATAAAGTGCTCAGTTTGAAATTCACTGAAGGTTACTTCGATCAGCAGATACCTGAAGAAGGCCAGAGGGTATAATGGCTGAAACGTGATAATTGTTATATTTTCATTATTAGCAGTTATTACTATTTTCTCTGAGGTTGTCTGGTTGAGCCACTGCAGAGGGGGTTTTAATGTATGGTGCTACTGCTTGGACATTAACTAAAATGCTAGAGTCTAAGCTTGATGGAACCTATACCTAGATGCTGAAGGCTATACGTAACATCACTTGGAGACAACGTCCAACTAAATCACAGCCCTATGGACCCATCCCTGATATTTCTACAACCTTAGAAGGAGGATCACTTCAGAATACTGGTATTGTAAGCAACCTCCAACAATCCGAATGATGCTTTCACTTTGATAAGTCGTTAAAAAACCCAAAATCAATCCTTGTTTCAGTTTTGTTTAAAACTTTCTCGTTACATTTATATAGAGAGTGTTATATATGTTATATATATAGAGTGTTATATATGTTATATATATATAGTTGATACAGGGAGTTATATATATTATATATATATATATATATATATATATATACATACAGTGTTATATATATAGAGAGTGTTATATATATAGAGAGTGTTATATATGTTATATATATAGAGTGTTATATATGTTATATATATATAGTTGATACAGGGAGTTATATATGTTATATATATATATATATACATACAGTGTTATATATATAGAGAGTGTTATATAGAGAGAGTGTTATATATGTTATATATATAGAGTGTTATATATGTTATATATATATATATATATATATATATATATATAGCTGATACAGAGTGTTATATATGTTATATAGAGTATTGTATATGTTATATATATAGAGTGTTATCTATGTATATATATATATATATATATATATATTGATACAGCATGTTATATATGTTATATATATAGAATGTTGTATATGTTATATATATAGTGTTATATATTTTATATATATATATATATAGTGTTGTATATGTTATATATATAGAATGTTGTATATATGTTATATATAGAGAGTGTTATCTATGTTATATATATATATATATAGCTGATACAGAGTGTTATATATGTTATACACATAGAGTGTTACATATGTTATATATATATAGAGTGTTGTATATGTTATATATATATATAGAGTGTTATATATGTTATATATATATATATATATATATAGCTGATACAGAGTGTTATATATGTTATACATATAGAGTTGTATATGCTATATATATAGAGTGTTATATATATAGAGTGTTCTATATGTTATACATATAGAGTGTTATATATGTTATATATATATAGAGTGTTATATATGTTATATATATAGAGTGTTGTATATGTTATATATATATAGTTGATACAGAGTGTTATATATGTTATATATATAGAGTTATATATGTATTCTAATTATTTGTCAGCAGAACCACACGTGATTTTAAGTTTCTTCATATCTATTGCATAAATGTCCAGCAGTCTTTTCTCTCATATAATTACTGAAGTTAAGCAACATTGAGCCTGGACAACGCTTAGATGGGTGACCACTTGGAAATAGCACTATAAGTTTGGATGTACATCGAATCTCACCACAGTTGATTTGTCAGACTTGTACACTTTCTGATGTTATTGGTCTTGAGTGGGTGACCCCAATGTGTGGCACCTTTGGAAAGTGCCTGAAAACCATACCACTGGTTGACCCAAGCCTTGTGAGTGAAATTGGGTAGATGGCATCCTTGGATGCTGTCAATAGCTGTGCTAGCACAAAGTTAAAAGTCATTGTGACTGTGGGTTTGAGTGTGCTGACCTTGTTCAGATTGTTGATCATGCTAGATAACACACTCTCTCCCAGAAACTGTAACTAAGGTCTGCTCAGCATAGTTTCAGTATAAACCACAGGTAGGCTCTGTAGATGTTGAACAAACGTAAATGTGCCTGAGCGAGCGTCTGCAATAGGGATTGGCTACCTGCCCTAATAGATGGGTATCCTCGAATACAAGTGGTCAGTTATTACATATGGTGTAATGGATAATGGCTTGGAATTAGAAATCGGAAGATCTGGTTGCAATTCTAGTTTGGTTTTATATTTACTTATGCATAAATAGCCTTGGGAAATGTAATGAGTCCACTTCTTCTCCCCAGCTATGGGTTAATTAGTAGGACTTGTATCAGTAAATCATTATGATCTCAAAAAATTTGTAGAATCTAAAAATATTTTCAGATTTTAAATAAGGTTGATAAACCATAAAAAAGGTTGATAAAGCATAAAAAACAAATCAATCAAAAGCACTCTTTTCTTTGATTCTAACAACATTTTCCTATTTTTTGATACTTTGCTTAGATTGGGAAAAGCATCTTTTACTATTTCTACACATCATATTTCTATGTTGCATTGCCCATCGTCTGTTATTACACTGCCAAGATAGTTCTCCAAGCCTTCTTTCCTTATTATCTATCCTAGAAATTCCTCAAAGTTCTCAGACAAATTTCTTCTATGTGCCATGTCTCTTCAGGATATGAATGATCTTGTAATCCCTGTTTTGCCAGCCATTTGTTATGTAGATTATGCACTGTTTTCCTCTGCTCCTGTTGCTTTCAACATGTCCTGTGAGTGTCAAATTTTCTAAACCCTCTTTCCTCATTATGTCCCCTGGAAATTTCAACTATCTCTTTCTGAGGTTAAGTATAAATGTCTTTTTCGTTTCCATTTTCTTTGAAACTTTGTCATTAATCACATGTTTGGTCCATGGTATTCTCAACATCCTTTTACAGAACCATATTTCTGTTGTTTGAAGTCTTTTCTTCATCTCTGATGAGATTGTCCAATATTCCCTGCCATATAGAACTGATATTACATAACTTTTAAGTACTCTTTTTCTTTGTTTCTAATAAGATTTTCATGTTTCTTAATATTTTGCTTAGCTTTCTGTGCCTTCTGATTTCATTGTTGCACATTCCATCGTCTGTTAAAAAATCTCCTAGATATTTACATTTTTGCACTTGCTTGATTTTGGCATCTCCAATTTTTAATTCACATGGGCTTTTCTTTTTTACTGGACAACAGTAAATTCTATCTTCTGACAATTGATAGTTAGTCTTTTCTTCTCTCTTTCTTTTACTACTTTCTGTCAGTTCCTGTCTTTTCCTTTCTGTATCTGTTATCAACACTGTCATTTGTATATCTAATCTTGTTAATATTGTGATTACTAGCAATGAATCCTGTTAATTCTCTCAGAATCACATCACTGTAAAGGTTGAATAAGTCTGGTGAGAAGACACATCCTTGTTTTATACCACTTAAAATCTGATCAGAAGTTTAAACTAGAACTTATTTTTGGTATCTTAGTAAGTCTGCAAACTTTTTACCATCTTCTTGTAATATTATAAAGAAAATGAAAATAAATAAAAAATCTTTTAGCTGCATATTCAAATATTGCTTTTTTCTTTTATTTTGATAGAATAAACATGGAAGCCGATGATCAAGAAATAATGGACTTACCAATGATGAGTAATCGAGACATTTCATTGGTCACTCATTACATCATAGACTTGTCATGTGACATGAAGAGCAAAAGTTTTACTGGCTCAATAACTTTGTTCATGCAACCAGCCCCAAAGAGCACATCTTTGCCTTCAGGGAGAAAAACACCTTATGTGATATGTTCTTCAAATTTCTCAAACCAGAATGAGACCTCTCAAGGTAAGTATTCATCACAAACTAAAAAACTATCTACAAGTGAACAGACTCCATCTTTAGATAACTCTAAAACTGATCTCAAAGTGGGTGTCCATAATCAACAAATATGTCACTCTGCGACTAATGTCTGTCATCCGTTGAACTGCAGTGCTACTGAGGATGAGGATAGCTTAAAAGCTGGTTGTGTTAATAAAGATTTACAAGAACTGTCCGTAAATGTGAATGTACCAGGTTTACAAATGGCTGACCAGAAGATAGAGGACCTTGTTCAGACAAGAGATAGCTTTAAAATAGACTGTTTGTTATCACATGATGACAAAGTAAATGTAAGTAGTAGTGATATAAACAATTCTCTCATTAAGGACACTGTGCCTAATTCACTGATGAGCTGTCCCAAAATAGACATACCAGCTGTGGATGCCAAATTTATCCCCCCTCCACAGACATTTCCTTTTCCTTCTTCACTGTCACCAGATAAAAACTCCCAAGAAGAAACTCAGGACAAAGTTAGAATTTCCGATGGAAAGCGAAAAATTTCCAATGATAAGGAATGTCCATTGAATTCTAAACATGCAAAATTGAATGAAAAGATGTTTTTATTAAACGAGACATGGGGAATGGAAGACATTCCAGTTCCTTTAGGGGATCAAACTTCTGACAATTTTGTCTCTTCAAATCCAAAATCAAAATCTTCAGCATCTTATTCTAGCATTGATCTCTCTGACAAAAATCAACCATTTGTTCTGATCTTAGATGCGTGCAATATTCATGTCTCACAGGTGAAACTTTTAGAACTTCCAAATTGTGATAAGTGCACCAAGCCATGCTTGAAATGTCGGACTGCAAACGTGACACAGCTTGAAAAGGAAAAGTTCTTTCGGTTTTGTTCTTCACAGCCGGGACAAAATTTGAGATTCTCCACAACAAAATGGTCACTTAATATTTGGGATGAACGACAGCCACCAGAAAGGTTTGATGCAAGGCTTCCATTTGTTGTGAGGATTGAATATTCAACTCTTCCCGAGGGCAAGTCCCTGAAGTGGGTTGCTGACCAAGATGGCAAGTAAGTTTATCCTTTTCATTTCTTCTAAATCATGTCTTTGTTCCATTTTTTTTTTTTAAACTGTTAATAAATTTGCATATCATATTATGCCTCTTCCTTTACTGATTGAACACTTATATAGTCTCTGCACCTTTTTTATTTTTAAACCCTAACCCTTTTGGGTTATAGGGGCAGTGGTGTTTCCTGGGCAAGGAAGTCTGTCCATTCTCTCTGATTTCGAATTCTGTGTTTTTCCTTCTCCTAGAATGGTTGCCAACCAAGGCTATAGGACCCAGCCTGTACTGCTATTTGCCCATAGTTTGAGGAAGAAGAAATAGATGCATACCTAAGAGTATTAACACATAAATGAATGCAATGAACTCAACTGGAATTTGAACTCGGCACTCCGATTTCTCAGTCCATTACACCACTGTGCCTTATATGCCTGAGCTATGCTAAAAAGGCTGTCAGTTACATATCACTACATTAACAAATATTTTCTTAAATTCTTGGCCTGAAGACTTGTCAGACATAGCTTGGTGATAAGTTATCTCAAATTAGCTGAATAAATTGCCTTTTATTTGGCAAATCAATATTTTTACAGTCAGAATTGGTATCATCCAACAGATATTGGCAAAAATTATTTATGTGAAGGGCACGACCCCTAACAAAACCATCAACTTCACCCAGCTTAACTCGATATTTATTGCATTTAACTAATTCATGAATCATGTTCTGTTGGGCCTGAAAATTAATAAACAAAAACATTTCTGTGTCTAATTATTGAGTGTGAGTTAGCCAGGATGTGCAGATAAAAATAAAGTTGCAATTTTCATAGAAGATTAAGTCAAGATCTTCAATCTCAGAGTGTTATATATATATATATATATATATATATATATATATATAGAGTTATGTATGTTATATATATAGAGTGTTATATATGTTATATATATATATATAGAGAGAGAGAGTTATGTTATATATATATATATATATATATATAGAGTGTTATATATGTTACATATATATAGTGTTATATATGTTATATATATATATATAGAGAGAGAGAGAGAGAGAGAGAGTGTTATATATGTTATATATAGAGATAGTGTTATATATGTTATATATATATATATATATATATATATATATATATAGCTGATACAGAGTGTTATATATGTTATATATATCGAGTATTATATATGTTATACTAGCAGCATGGCCCGGTGTTCCCCGTGCTTGATTCAAAAATCGTACGACTCATACAGCAATCGCTATCACTTGACTTAAAATATTTTTGCCCTTCCTTGCCTTTAAAGGAGTGCCCTTTGCCGTGCTGATGTTGCTACATGCCTGACTTCTTGCCTATCTCATACTGCAAAATTTTTCTAAACTCTATACTAAACATTAAATCTGCTACAAAAAAAGAACTAAACAAAATGAACACAAAACGATCAGCTTTAAAAAAGGACTCGTAACTGGAATAACCAAATGAAAAAAGAATATTAACAACAAATACATTTTCCCATCCAACCCAGTTCTGCGGAATCAGAATCAACGTTGAGTTTAAGCAAGCGAATGAGCCAATTGGAATTAACAGGAGATAACTGATAACTGACATTCATCAAACATGGCATACAAGGTGACTTTTAACCTTAAAAAATCCCCCTGCCCAAATAGCAAGTTCTTCTGTATCTGTCTATATTTCTGAGATGAGGTATTATGTACACTATTTACATTATTCGGACTATTGTCCTCATCTTTGTTGCCATATTTATTACAACGTTTCGGCCTTTCAGTATCTGTCAATATTTCTGAGATGAGGTATTATGTACACTATTTACAATATTCAAACTATTTTCCTCATCTTTGTTGCCATATTTATTACAACGTTTCGGCCTTTCAGTATCTGTCTATATTTCTGAGATGAGGTATTATGTAAACTATTTACATTATTCGGACTATTGTCCTCATCTTTGTCGCCATATATATATTACAACGTTTTGGCCCTTTAGTATCTGTCTATATTTCTGAGATGAGGTATTATGTACAGTATTTACATTATTCGTACTATTGTCCTCATCTTTGTCGCCATATTTATTACAATGTTTCGGCCATTTAGTATTTGTCTATATTTCTGAGATGAGGTATTTTGTACACTATTTACATTATTCGGACTATTGTCCTTATCGTACTATAGTCCTCATCTTGTCGCCATATTTATTACAACATTTCGGCCGTTAACCTAGAACAGTCTACCCCAGTGAGTGAATTAAATAGTTCAGTTTGAAATTCCAACCACCTGAAGAAGGCCGGAGCATACAACGGCCGAAACGTTGTGATAAAAATGGCGACAAAGATGAGGACAATAGTCTGAATAATGTAAATAAAGTGAATAAAGCATTAGTTTTTATTAACCAGTGTTTGTGATTTCAATTCCTGTACTGGGCAATATATATATATATATATATATATATATATATATACTATATAAAACAATGACACAAATTAAGCTTTTTGCCACATTTGAACAGAAGAACAGAGCAGTTATCTTTACAATGTGTTTTCTTTTACAATGTCAACCAGGGGAAAATACATTGACAAAAGAGTAGAGGGTGACAAGATGAAAGAGGATGTCTTTTGGGATGACTCTCAGTTCCTTCAGGAGAAGAAAGACTGTTTATATTGTTGAATTGTTTTTTTTTTGTCTTTTTCTTTGCTCATTCCAGTATGACAGTATTCACAAGAGGAGACTTCATCAATAACCGTTCACTGTTCCCGAGCCAAGATCACCCAGAAACCCTGTCCACATGGCAAGCTTACATTACCGTGACGGTATCCGATGTTGTCTTAATGACTGGCGATCAAGAGGCTGTAGTAACGCAACAAGAGAACGGTAAGTACATATAACTAGTTTTAATTTTAATGACCATATTATAAAGCATTGACATTTTCACTGAAGGGTTACATAATGCCAGCTATAATAATATTAGAAATTAGTACGTAAGTTTACTTATGGTTTATTTTAGTAAATAGAATCATATTTATTAACATATTCACTGTCTACCATGGATTTTTCCAACATTATACAGTGTGCGATGGGTAAATTGTCGCCATTTTTTATTTTCACGTAAGTGCCTTATATATATTTTTTGTCAACTGCACAGTATGGGTTAGGCACCATCTGTAAGAAAAAGAACACCATGATGCAATTCACTCCGCCATAAATTTGGAAATGGCATGCTCTACTGTTTCACATTCATGCTGGAAGCTTCAATATGAAAATTTCTGAGTGTTTAGATGCCAATGTTAGGACAGTACAGAGTATTCGGAAAGAGTTGGATGAGTCTAATGGTGATTAAGAAGATGTTTGGAGTGATCACTAGTAATGGCAATGTTAGGCCTCCATTCATCTTCCCACATGGCCTCAGACTCTACACTGAGACCTAGATCAACTGCCTTGAGGAGGTAGTGCTGTCCTGGGTCAAGAGGGTGTCTGCTGGAAGACCCTATGTCTGGCAACAGGACACTGCACCATGCCACACAAACAAAAGAACCCAGTCATGGCTGTCAGATAATTTCTGTGACCACATCACCCCACCTAACTCTGCAGACTGCAACCTCCTTAATTAATATGTGTGTGGTACATTTGAGCAAGAGACCAACAAAACTCCTTGTAACATGAAAGATGAACTGAAGGCAAAGATTATGGCAACATTCACCAACTTAGAAGAGTTGCAAGAGATTCTGAAATCGTATGGAGGCCGTGTTTAAAAGAAATGGCAATTTTATTGAATAAATTTACTCTTTAGCATTTCGAAATATTTTTGTGTAATTTTGGTAAATATATCTGAGAAGTCAGTGTTATTTTCATTTTTGCATAATTTAGACCACATCTATCCATCGCACCCTGTATATGAAGTTCAGCTGAAAAGTTCATAGGCTGACCAAATGAGGTTTATTTTTTAACATCGTACCCCCTTGCAATTCACGCACTTCTTCCATTTGTGAAGAAGTTTTCATCCAGTAAATATGACATCATCATTACTGGAATACTGGTTCCCATGTTGGAGAAAAAATGATAGTCAGATGGGGTCAAATCAAGAAAATAGGGAGAGTGATCAACCAATTTAAAATCACAGTCATGTACAGCAGCCATTGAAACCAAAACTTGTGTGCTTGAACATTGCCCTGATGAAATAGGACTCATTTCATCAGGTTTCCTAGGTGTTTGGCCTTGATAGCCTTTCATAACTGCCTCACCAAGTTGACATATTACTCTCCATTGCTGATGTGGCCTTTTTTGAACAATGCCTTTTGCATTCAAAAAACTGAAGCCATCTCCTTTCCCTGCAGATGAAATGAACTTGGAATTCTTTGAGGTGGGGTTTCCGCATGGATTGTCTCTGTCTCTGGCTCAAAGTGATGAACCCCATACTCACCTTAGGTTAAGAAATGTTCAAGGTGATAATAACAACAAAGATGAGGACAATAGTTTGTGTTTAAATAATGATAAGTCCTCATCTCCGAAATTCAGACGGAAGATGATAAGGTGATGCTAACAACTAAGGACAATAGCCTGAGTTTAAATAATGTAAATAATGATAAGTCCTCATCTTTGAAGTTCAAATTTAATTTTCTTATATATTGTCTTGAACATTTTCTCTGGTTTTATATGACAAATAAAAATGAAAAAAAAAAAGAAAACAGATTTTCTTTTAAAAAGTCAAATTAAAAAGTCAATACTAAAAATGTTTCTTGTTTATCATATGTGGCCATACAAACAAAATTAGGAAGCTATATAGATGAAAAATTACAAGTTATTTACAGAAATAATTTCTCAGCACAATGTTTATATTAATTATTGCATAATTAAACCAATTTAAAAGGCATGTCTCAAATTCTTAGAAAAATCACTCTATACAGGAAAAGTAGATGCTGTGTTGTCTTGTAAATGGTAATCTAGTAAAATGGATTTTACATGGTACCTCCTTGTCTTCGAGTAGAGGGTAGAGGATTCCAACATTGTGTCTATAAATTTTGATGATTGTCTCTGATATAATGGAATATCCATATACCTGTGTTCCCTCTCACTGGAATATGATTGGCTGGTGTCCATCATAAATACCGACGGACATGCAGGCATGACAGAGTCAAGAGCCTTAATCTGAGAGCTAAGTCTATAACGACGCCCATTGGACTATGCCATTGATCTACACTTCTTAACTGCGACTACGACACGTACCAGTTGATTACTGCTACCGAAAATCACTTAGCTACTTCGTTCAAATATGTCTCTTTCTGGGACATATCAGTTTCCTACTCAACGCCCTGTTGAAAACTGCATCAAGGTATTTGAAGGTGTTCTCTTCAGGCTGTGGCTTGTAATGGTCAAGATATCTTTGAGAGCATCATCACTTTATATGTCAATCATTTTTTTACAATGATGTTCACCCTATACAAGGCTCAAAAGCTACTCAAGGTAGAGTGTTACAGAGTCAGAGGCATAGTTTATGGGGTTATTTTCAGGAGATAACTGTTAACCCTAGACTTGAACAGGTTAAGATTGTAGTGATCGAGAAAGCATCATCTTGAGAATTGATTCATGGGAAGAAGCTGCTAGTGTGGAATTTACTCTCACCAGGAATGCAAAGAGAATAAGCATGGTTCATAGTTCAATTAAAAGGTTATGTGAGTATAATTGAATTTTACAATGGTAACCAATAAGAAAAATCCATATTTAGATGAATTTATACATGTTGGGTATTCATCAGGATTCAGAAAAACAAAACCCAAAATGTTGTAAAAAAACTTTTAATTCTAATTCTTTTATTCTGATATTCCCTTATTCTTTCATTCTTATTTTAAACATTTGTAATTCTTTCCATTGTGTCTTTATTCCAGCTGTTCTTCATCTGTGTCCTGGGTAAGACGATAAACTACGTTCAACAGCAAGGCCTCTAATCAGGAGGTTTTGAGGAGCGTGGAACTACCTCTTAATTACTGATGTTCCCAGGTCCACCGTGATCTGGGGTGGTAGCACCTGTTAGGGTCCCAGCTATGGGTAAAATAGTTAACCCTGAAACTGGGGTAAAAACACTATGAAAGTGTAAAAATAGGTTTTAATACCAGAAATACTTTGTAAAAAATTATTACCAGAAATAAATTTTTGAAGAAAAAATCTATTACCAGCAATACATTTTTGAAAAAAAAAATATTGCCAACAATGTTTTTTTTAAAAATAGATATTACTAGCAATACATTTTTGAAGGAAAAATATTACCAGAAATAGATTTTTGACAAAACAAAATATTAACAGCAATAAAAATCTTGTTGAGGTTGATATGCTGTAAAACAAACCAAACCAGCTGTTCTTATTTTGTGGTTTGTATTCTTCAGGTTTCGTCCAGTTTTATTATCAGTCCAGCATGCTTATGCCCAGCTCCACTGTCGCAATCGCTGTTGGTCAGTGGCAGATCTTGACCATTTGTGAGTCAGAATCTCTTGTTAATGACAAAAGGTAGGTGTCTCAATTAAGTTTCATCCATATGTTCTGAAAGTCTCTGTTGATTTCAATGGAATATATATTTATTTTTGTAGTAATACAAAAACTGTGGCACAAGGCCAAAGGGGAAGCAGGGAAAAGCTGGTCTTTACTGACTATCTGTTGAAGCTTGGATAAGCATGGAATAATAATAATACAACACAAAATGTACGTAAACAAAATGTATTAAACAAGGAAAAGGTACACAATATTTACAGTTAGTTTTGGTATATTCTTGGGAAGACTGTTCCTGCAGAATGGGTTGACTAAATCGCAGTCGGGCAGAGTCTCTGGATTCGATCTCTTCTTACTTCTCCCCCGTCTTCCCGGTACCAACCCATATTTATATCGTCGGTACTCCACTTATGTAAATTAGGTGTATCGTACCACAACACTATCCTAGTCCTAGTTACTCCCAATCACGGCCCATTCATTCAATGCAATATACTCAATCCCCACACGAAGTTATCCATCACCTCACAAGCCCACATATACCACAATACCACATATTCACAGGGGATCTACAAAACAATTTGTAATGGAATGACTGCAAAGCATTTCCCACTCCCCTTTTATAAGCAGAAATCCACAAATGCATGCTGGGATATTTTTCTTAGCCAATAAAATAGGCCAGTTTGCAGTTTGACATAACTCAGTCCAGATCTGCCAATTCAGGCGATTCCAGCTGACTTCTCAAACTCTCTGCCTTCAAGCAACCCAAACATGGCTATGCTGATGGGCAGAGTCATGTCTGCGGAGGTAGACAAGCTCGACCCTATGTATGCGGGGTGATTGGGGAATTTTTGTCCAAGCCTACAGACTCAGATTCGCCTCACGTAAAAAACAGTCTTGTGCCACATTCTGCCTTCTGGGAGGTGAGGTAAATAACCTCAATCCAGATCTGCCTTATACAGAAGACAGGTCACTTCATTCACTTGTCTGACCTTGCTTTTGTACGTCAACACCAATTCATAGTTAGTGAACATTTTGCCTTCTTACCTGTTAATTTGCTTTGCATATATGTTTTACTTGATATTATTTCATTTTTGCCATGTTTTTTTTTCTTTTTCTTTCATCAGTAAAGCCAGTTTCAAAGCTGAAACTATTACTGATTATGTTATTGGAGCCAAAAAATTGGCCCCTTTATTAAAGATTTCTGGGCAAATTATTGGTGTTGGTTTACTAATTGCCACGATCCTAAAAGGCCTACCATTCTATTTCAAGCCATTTACAACTGTTATTACTCAGAAAGACAAGCTACTAACATTTAGTGAATTCAAAGGAGCAGTGCGAAGCTTCGAAGAAACTGAAAATATGATTTGAGAGAATAACAGTGAAAATACCGTAATGACTCTCAAAATGCTTAAACCAAATCCACAAACTAATGTTCCCGCCTGTTTTACTTGTGGTAAACTTAGACATAAAAGCCCTGACTGCTGAAGTAAATTTCCCCATCAAAACACTACAATTCCAATCCTGTGAACAAAAATATTATCTGCCTTGCTTGTTGCAAACCTGGACATAAAAGTACCAAATGCAGAAACAAAAAACTCATTTCATAAATTATGTGGAACATGTTTCAGATAACATTCATTTCTATTTTCAATTGGACTAGATACCATTTACAAAAAAAATGGTTTACTTGTTGACTGTGGTGAAACCATGCATGTCATTACTAATGAATTAAAAATTTCTTACTTTTAATTCAGAAAATCAACATATTGAATTGATAGATGAACCAGTAATATTGCTTTGGTAAAAGGCGATGCCCAAGTAACTATAACGAACATGGAAGGAAATATGTGAGATTGCATTTTAATGAGTGCTCTATACATCCCTGCATTCAAATTATACATATTTAAATGCGCTGATCGGCTGCGAAGTATATGTTCAACAACCCAAGGGGTAATCCATTGTCTGCAAAAAAATGACAAATTTGGCAATTACAGAAATCTTTATATGGACTTAAATAAAGCAGTAAAATTGAAATCAAATCCTTAACACATATTTAATTGGTCAAGGTTTTTCTTAATCCTTGGCAGTATTTACACAAAAGAAACCACTTCAAATACTGATTATGATTGCTTGGGTTGATATACTCATTGCTGCAAGTTTAAATTCTGCGTTAGTTAATGTAAAAACATGTTTAAATGAACAATTCAAAATGTCTGATCTTGGAAAGCCTTCTTTCTTTCTAGGTATACAATTTACATTTAAAAACAACTCCATTGAGATGAATCAAACAAAATATGTAGAAAAGATTCTAACCAAATTTAGAATGCAAGATTGTAAACCTCAATTAAAGCCTTGCGAAATGGATATTAATTTAATGGATGAAAGCAATACCGAACCAACTGACGAAGAATATTAATAGGTGGCAGCCTGATATATGTTATGATAGCCACTTGTCCAGATATAAGTTATGTGGTAACAAAATGGTCACAATATTTCATGAATCCAACCATGTAACACTTGATAAGAGCCAAACAGTCCTTATGCTATTTGAAAGGCACAAAAACACACTGTTTTTAATAAATTGAATAAGTCCCTAACTTTAAAAAGTTTTTGATTGAGGAAATTCAAAATATCGCCAAAGTATTACAAGATATGGTTTCCAGTTATCAGCAAACAGTTCAATGATTTTGTGGAAAACGAGAAAGCGACTTACAGCAGCAAAAGTCCTTATTTGTTTATTAGCCGCCATAATTATTGCAACTAAAGAGCAAGCCACAATCTATTGCAATAATCAAGGTAGCATTGCTCTGGCTAAGGACCATCAGCATTCAAAACACATAGAAGTACCATTTCTTAAGGACTGAAATTCAAAATGACACAATAAATTTGGACTATATCCCAACTAAAGAAAATGCTGCTGATTTGTTTACTAACCCTGTCGGCAGAACAAAATTAAATAAATTGTAGATCAACATGCTCCCCCCCCCCTTGGAGTGGATGTACACGCTTTATTTATCATCTCTCAGTTGCGTCTCTGTCCTTGGACAGAGTGCGCTCAGGGGCTTCTCTGTCTAAGGACGGAGGGGCAACTGAGTAAATAGTACTGAAGAGGTGCCCAATTCTGGGGAACAGCTGCCCAAGGCCGCGCCCTCCCATTGCACCAGAGGGTGGGATCGGTGCTCGCACCGAGGCCAGTGCAACTGATGATTGCGGGGGCTGAGGGGAAGTGTACGTGCTCAGGTCCCCACATTAATCCGACTTTGTGTCACATCTCATTCTCGTGGGGGAATGAGTAAATACCAGAACAAAATTAAATAAATTCTTTACTGCTCTAAATGGAGCGCTATAGTGAACAATTATGAATACCAGGTGGTGTAAGCTTGGATGCCCTGGTGGTATAATAGATAATAGCTCAAAATTGTTAATTGGAGAATCGAGTTCCAATTCCAGTGAAGTTTGTTATATTCACTTACATGCAAATACTTTTGTGAAAAGTGAGAATCCACCTTATTTTCCCTCCAGATATGGGTTAATTAGTAAGGCTTATATAACTAAAAACCATTATTATCTCCCAAAAACAAAAAAAATATTTAGATTTTGGCATTAAATAACTCATAGAGGTGTTCATATGCCACTAAACAAAATCAACCAACCTATTATATGAGGGTAAGTCAAAAGTTTTCTGCAATTTCACAATGACATAACTTTAGTTTTGTCACAATGCCTTCTGTTTATGCGGACTTATAGTTGGTACTATTCTGGTCACATGATCAAAGTTTGAGCTTGATCTTGCCAATTTTCTTGCTGCTAACACAGTGTAAACATGGACGCTCCACTAGCAGTGTTCACCAAGGAGGAACAAAGAGCATACTAAGAGCCTAGATATTAATTAAATGGGAATGTGGTCAAGTGGTTATAATTCCAAAGATGTAATCCAATCTCACTATGGTCAATTTATCAAAGTAATGACTTTGTAGTAATGGCCTGAGGACATGATTCCAGTATGTGCCACCATTAGTAAGTGCCTGAAACTTGTACAACAGGTTGTCTCAAATCTTGTGAATGAAATTGGGTAGATTACAGAAACTATTTGGAAGTCGTCAATGGTTTTATTAGTATGAAGTTTCAAGTCATCATGACCGAGATATTGTTCGACTATTACTCTTACATTGTTACGAAAATTGATGATGCCAGATTATGCGCTCTCTCCCAGAGACTGTAACTAACATCTGATCAGCATAGTCTTAGTATAAAACACAGATTAGCTCTGTGGGAAAATGAAATTAAGCCAATAAATAAAAAAAATAAAGTTAATTTTTCCGTGATGCAAATTATATAGAAACCAGAAAGGCTTTCTGGTCGCACGTGTGATTCTCTGACCCCACCTCCAGAAAGGACAGAATCTTTCTCTCTTCTATTTTCCAACAACATCATTTGGACAAGTTTCAGCAGCCCTGCTCATGAAGAAAGTAATTTGGTTGTTCCAACTCAGCACAAAGCTGACTTGAGCTCAACTCTGTTAACCATTGTTATCCTTACTTCTGAACCAAAAAAGGAAAACAGACATACCCAAGAGACATTGAGAACTTTGTTTTATTACACTCACCAGCAACTCAAGTTTTTGTATGCTTTTATCGACTTTATTCACATACTGAACACACAATTTCACCTAAAACATACACAAATACACCACCTTTTTCCCTCTGTGGGTGTTGAAAAGATACAAATTTACCTGGGAAGGCATTTGCAGCAGAGATTATCTACCCCAGACATAAGGGTATACTTAACCATACTGCAATCCAAACAAGCATTGATATAAGAAATAAAGCTTTTACTTTCTCTTCGTAGGGAGAAATGGGTCCCAGATTTCTGTTCCAGCTCACACCATTCCTGCAGCGTCAATTTCAGTCAGCATCCCATCCTTCCTTGTAGAGTTTTTGCTCCAAAGTCTTTGCTGGCTCAAGTGGAGGCAGAGTTCCAACACTATTTGCCGAAGTGTTTAGCTGAAATGCATAATGTCTTCGGTCCGCATCCCTTTTGTCGTTTGGACATACTTCTCGTGCCATCCTGCTTTGAAAGTCTGGGAATGGCCAAGTAAGTGATCATTTTCTCATTTTCATCTGTATAAAAAGTGTGTTTGGTTCAACTACAAAGTCAAGACAGCTTGATTTATTTTTGACTTTGATTTTATCAAAGAAAATATTTAACCTAATTTTTAATGCTTCTGCAACTGCAGACATAGTTTTACAGCTCTAGAAAAATTACATTACCTGTTGTCAGTATATATATATATATATTACAATGAATCATTCATACAAAAAGTAGATTAGTAAAGTTAATAATATAAAATGGCGAAATCCCTTCACAAACAAAATTTTAAAGGTGCATTAACCTATAAATCACTCGATGAATGTTATGATCCTTGTTTTTAAAACTTATAAACTGTATAAGGTCTTTCTTTAATACGCAAGTACTTTCAACTGTACATTCAGTCATCTTCTGGCATGGAAATTATTATGTTTTTGGTGAAATTCAGGTAGCATCCAAGACAAAAAAATATAATGCGAATCAAAATATGTTGTTTTTGAAATGTGTTATTGTTAACGGATACAAACTTTTGGAGCGTGCAATCGCAATGCTAAGGTTGAATGTTTTGAAAATTTAAGAGAGTGCATTTTAAAGAAAGACTTTATACAACTTATAGTTATTAAAAACAAAGATCATAACATTCATCGAGTGATTTGTAGGTTAATGCACCTTTAAAATTTTGTTTGCGAAGGGATTTTGCCATTTTAAATCATTAACTTTGCTAATCAACTTTTTTTATGAATGATTCATTGAAATATAAATTGAACTGCACCACATATTTTTTATATATATATATATATATATATATATATATATATATATATATTTTCAGAACATATCTCTCTTTAGAAAATGTACATGGCCTGTTGATAGTATATACACTACAAGCAAAAGGTTTGGGACCACCATGCATTTTTTTTAAAACCACCTTAAATTGAGATATTTTTCTATTTTTTAAAGTAAAACATAAAATTTCAGTAACTATAGTGTATTTGCTTTTATTTTTCAGTCTTTCTCCAGGCTCTTTTTCACAATCAAAAATTTTCTAATTTAGATTCGTCTGTTCATAATACATTTTCCTAAATCATGAATATTTTGTTTTAAAAACATTATATTGTTTTCACCATTAACCCCTCAGTAAACTTTTTGAGATTATCAAAATTTTCAACTAAGTTAAATATTAATACAGGTTCTATATGTCAATGTACAATGTTGTAAAGAAAACATATGTAGCTGTCTCTGAAGAAAAAAAAAGATTGTATCGTTACAACAGTATTTTCATAGTTTTTTTTTTTATTTTGATTTTGAAGTAATTTGTACAAAATGACAAAATCAAAGCAGCCAAGTACTGACATTTTATTTAAAAAGGCTACTCTCAAAGACAAATTGCCAAACATTTGAAGATTTCTAGACATGGGGTACAATATTTGTTAAAAAGGCAGTTAGAAACTGGCTCAAATGTTGACAGAAAAAGAACTGGAGCACCAAAAGTGACAACAGCTGCTGAAAATAAACACTTGATTGCTAGAGCAAAAGAAATAGAAGAGAAATTGCTCCAGTGTTGACAGCTGAACTTAATTCCTCTCAACAGCAACCAGTGTTGCCCTCAACTGTGAAAAATCAACTTAGATCAGTGAGACTCAGATGCATAGCCTTCAAGAAACACTTGTTACAGAAGGTGAATTTTACACTGCAAAAGTTTTATTTTTTTTACAATAAAGTTGAAATACTGCAAGTTCCAAGAAAATAAAATAAATGAACCTTATATTTACTTCAGTGCAAGAAATAAAAAATTTCTTTTTAAAAAGGCTAAATTGTAATTTAGTAGTCTCTGCATATCTGCCTCCAGTCATGGATCTCTGGTGCATGGCTGCATGGCCCTTTTATAGGTACCGCCTTGCCTGAAACAATCAATACAGTGTAACCTGGATATAATAGAGATTTTCTCTGGTCCCAAATTAGAGCCTGTGTTAATGTATATAAAATAGACCAAACCCGGATATAAGAGAAACCCGGATATAAGAGACTTCTTCTCCGGTCCCGACAACTCTCTTATATCCGGGTGACGCTGTACCAGTATTTTGTTAGAATTTCTTAAAGATCTGTTTATTTTTTTTTTTTTTTCAGTCCCTGCCTCATTTTCTTGTCGGAATCCATTTTGGTTGGAAACTGCAGTTTTTGTTGCCGGTTAAGCCATGAAATCAGCCATTCATGGTTTGGATTGGTCCTGGGACCCAAAGACTGGACAGAAGAATGGATGACTGAAGGATTTGCCTCTTTTGTTGAGGACCTTGTCCATCCAAAAGTGATTGGGGTGAGAAATTTTAAATCTGATTTTAAAAACTAAAATTTTTATTTAAAGAATTGTGAGATTTTAGTTGAATTTTGTCAGACTATTTTTTGAAGGTACAAAGATTAAACTTTTCCAAAATTTATATATCATATTCTCTCATTCATATATATATATATATATATATATATATATATATATATTTATTAAGACATTTATTATGTTTAACGTTGTTATTTTATAGATACAAGTATTTAAGCAAATGCTCTGTTTATGATAAACAGTATTAAATAACATTTACCGGCCTGAATAATAGAAATTTTCATAGAAAATTTTCGTTCTTATAAATTCGAACATGCATCCTATATGGACTTTGTCATATCGTAACGTGCTTTGCTAGGCTACAAAGCGTTCGGTAGACAAAGGTCAATTTACTGCTTATAAACTCCAATTTTCCATGAATCCTTGTCTGCAGGTTCTTTTGTAGCCTAAAGCAACGTATATGGCGGTTTTATAGGATGCAGGTTCGAATCATTCAAAGGAAAATTTTCTATGAAAATTTTATTTAATTTAATACTGTTTATCATAAACAGAGCATTTGCTTAAATACTTGTATCTATAAAATAACAACGTTAAACATAATAAAATGTCTTTAATAAATAAATTGTCGGACCTTGTCCATTTCTTAATATATGACGTCATTTGTTTACATTTCGACACGCCAGAGCAGTTATGAATGTACGAGATTCATGGAAAATTGGAGTTTATAAGCAGTAAATTCGACCTTGTCTACGAACGCTTCTTTTGTAGCCTAGCGGTAAGGCACGTCAGCGTATATGACGGTTCATTATAGGATGCAGGTTCGAATCCTGTCAAAGAACGAAAATTTTCTATGAAAATTTCTCGGACATTCAGGCGGTAAATGTTATTTAATACTGTTTATCATAAACAGAGCATTTGCTTAAATACTTGTATCTATAAAATAACAACGTTAAACATAATAAAATGTCTTTAATAAATAAATTGTCGGACCTTGTCCATTTCTTAATATATATATATATATATATATACTAGCTTAAACACCACCCAATAAGGCAAATATTTAAGCTAGCTCCTGTGGAGGGCTCTAGATTGAGCCTTTATCACAATAGCTAGGGAAGAATAGATACGATAAGCAGCGATAAACTACACAAGAACTCAAAATTGATCACTGCATTTAAGTATTACATTAAGATTACCTTTTAAAAGTTCAACGATAATTCTGCCGCCACTTAATTTAAAGACAATTTGATGTATGTAGGCCCTTACTTTCCATACAAACAATTATTTGTATTTCATGGGTGATTTTCGCTGGATTTCGCAATTAATTTCCATTATTCCAAAATTTAATTCCAAGTTATAAAAATTGTTATCATACAAAACATTCTGTAACATGAGCTATTGAAAGTTAGAGAGTTGCATCCTTTTTATTGAAAAAGTGTAACACACTGACATTTGCATTTATTACATATAAAACATTTGGAAATTTTTTGGGTTTTTTTTTGGAAATCAGTTGACTAGAATCGATTGAAGATACTAAAAGGTTGAAACTAAGGTTGCAGAATCAACTGATCCCCTAATTTTATACACTTAAACTCTCTACATGTTAAATTTGTATCTTTTTATATGTGTACTGAGCACTTTTAATACTACTGTTTCCTGGTCTATTTTAGATCTGACCATTAACTTATATATATATATATATTTTTTTTTTTTTTCTTACTTCAAACATAATTTTTAGTGGATACCTGTATTTGAGTAGAGGATGTTGTTCTTTAAACAATGTTTATTTCATTGACTGGCCTGCACATTCAAGAAAATTGGCCTCCAGCAGGATTTGAACCAGCATCCCCTTTTACAGGAGGAACCACTATCTGTAAACCAGCTAAGTAGAGCCTCACAGTTAAGCAAGGTTCTATTTGCCTAAATGTGCTCTATTCAAATACAGCATCCACTAAAAATAAAGTTTAAATTTATAAAAGTATGTTGGATTAAAAGAAAAATCCCTCTCATTCTCTCTCTCTCTACATATATATCTTTCCATGGAATATATCTATTTGTGCCTTGGTACACATCATTGGTGATGTTTTTAGCCAAGGTTTATTAGGGGTTTCAGGTCTTTCAACATTATACACCCCTCTCCATGGTGACTCAGCTGATATTGATCGGATATTGACGTGTACCATCTATCAGTTACAACTTCTTTTATTTTTAATTACACACTGTGACTCCTCTTGGCAATTTATAGTCCAGTCATAGATAACTTCCGGTTCACAACCAAACTATGCTCTTCCAAAAAAAATGAAGCAAACACAGTAGCACATCTCATATGCTCCATTCAAATTTGGGTGTCCATTAAAAATAAAGTTTGAAATTGTTGTGGCCTGTTCGGAGCCAGAAGAAAGACACGGAAAGAAAAAAGTAGGTTGAAAAAAGTGTATTGAAATAACTGATATATACAAAGTAAGAGTGTTATTAGTCAGCAGATAGAAGTGTCCGTCCAAACTGTCTGTTTGCATTGCGTCTCAACTGTCTCTCAGGAAGTCTCGTAGATTGGTATTTATGAAGGAGGAAAAGTTCATTCCCATGTAGGTAGGTCACCATAACAGAAATAATAAAAGTGTATTGAATTAAAAATAAATCTCTCTCTACATATATATATATATATATATATATATCATAAATTAACTGATTTAAAATATGGATTCTTCGCTACATAGTAATTACCATGTTTCAAAAACCAAAGCTAAAAACTTCAAATTTAATTAAATAATTAAATTAAAAGCATTAGTTCTGTTTCGTCTTCAAGCAAATTTTGGAATAACTTATTTTTAAATTTACTGAGTTTTAAATGCACATACAATTCATAATTTTTTGTTTCCAAGGATACAGAGAAATCCAATCATTTAGTCAAGGGCGGTAGCGTGTTCAATTTTATTAACTATTATTGTATCAATTATGAGTTACGTTCCCTAAACTTAACCTCTTTTTCGAATGTAACTCATAATTGATACAACAATAGTTGATAAAAATGAATACACTACCGCCCCTGTCTAAATGATTGGATTTCTCTGTATCCTTGGAAACCAAAAATTATGAATTGTATGTGCATTTAAAACTCAGTAAATTTAAAAATAAGTTATTCCAAAATTCGCTTGAAGATGAAACAGAACTAATGCTTAATTATATAATTAAATTTTAAGTTTTTAGCTTCAGTTTTTGAAACATCGTAATCCCTGTGTAGCGAAGAAATCATATTTTAAATCAGTTCATTTATAATATTTATGTTCTGTAAATTTACATTGAGTACTGTTTTGTAAAAATAAAAATATCAATAAGATCACTGGATTATATATCTTACTGTTCTTCCTTTTTATTATAATATATACAGTGTACACAAAAGTGAGTACACCCCTCATATTACATGGCTATATTTTGAGTTATTTTGAGGGAAAAATAAATTAACTCTGTTATATATGCTGCAGACAGGCTACTTTTCATTGTGTCAAAGAGTCATTTTGTCAGTGTTGTCCCATGAAGAGATATACTTAAATATTTGAAGAAATGTGAGGGGTGTACTTACTTTTGTGATACACTGTGTGTGTGTGTGTGTGTGTGTATATATATATATATATATATATATATATATATATATATAGTTGCCCTCACCTGCTTGCATTCAAGCAGTGGAATCATCATTCTCTCTCTTTATTCCCTTCCTCTCCTCTGCTGATGGTGGAAGAGATGGCTATGAATCAGAGAGACTTTGATGAGGCCATTCATGTGAATTTGATTTTGGTGGACAATTGTGACAGAGAAGCTCAAACACTTGGCTAGAAGAACCTCCCTTGGATTGAGACAGGCAAGATCTGGCAAATCTGGTTGCATCAGGCTATCAGATGCTTGTGCTGCCAGTTTGTCCATTGAGATCTTTGCCTTTTATTCCATCATTGGGGTCTTCAGGGTTTGGTCACGTTCAGCCAGGTCCTTCTTCTTTGATCTTACTGCCATGGGTGACCCCTTGGGATCACTGGGACAAGTAAGCCCTCTAACAGGACAAGGAATCACACACACACAAACATATATATATATATATATATATAATTTCTAAAAATAGCAAGGATTTTTTATTTATTCATCTGACAGATTTTATCACTTTAAATGTTATTTTTACTGGATATCTATATTTGAGTAGATGCTTTGTTTATTTATTAAACAGTATATTTATTTTTCTCTACAGGCCTGTATATTTGAGAACTCGTATTAAAAAAATGATGGGCATTCTGACAGGAATTGAACCTGCAACCTCCTTTGCAGATGAAACCATCATTAGATCCAATGTGTTTTAGATTGACTCAGTTATGAAGGGTCTCACTAATTAAGCAAAACTAAATAGTGCCTTATAAGGGCAAATTCTTTCCTAGTCCCTCCAAAATCAGGTTTTCTTGATCAGGAAGACACTTTGTAGCTGAGTTGATCTAAAGCACCGGCTCTACTGACGGTTTCTCCAGCAACAGGGGATGCAGGTTCAAATCATTCTGTAGGGCACATCTTTTCTTTGCAGGAGAAACAATCATTAAATCCAACATACTTTAGACCAACTCTGCCATGAAGGATCTCGCTGTTCTAGCAAATTATAAGTCTTATAAGTGCAAATCCTTCCCAGACTCAAAATTCAGTTTTTCTTGATTGGCGAGACACTATGTGGCCAAGTTGGTCGAAGTCACATCAGTTCTAACAACAGTTTCTTCTACAAAATTGGATGCAGGTTCAAATCCTGCCAGAGGGCACATCTTTACTTTAATAAGATTTCTGGAATATTCAGACTGGTAGACAAAATTAAATAAATATACTGTTTAATAAATAAATGGAACATCTACTCCAATATAGGTTTCCACTAAAAACAACATTTAAAGTGATTAAATATATATATATATATATATATATATATATATATATATATATATATATATAGTTATTTTGGATGCTTTTGAAATGTAAATCTTGCTATTTTGGGGCTTTTGATCTATTGGTAAATTTGGATTTCTGCTATTTTTTACCCTCTAAGATGAACGAGAAAGAAGCAGAAGATTGGTTTGAACTTCGAGCCCTAATCAAATATCGTGTGCTCACAGCTGAACTGAGTCACACAAATGATGAACTTCAGATTATGAGGTAAACGATTTCCAGTTTGCTTTTTCTCTTGTTCTAACATTTGACTGCAATTAAGACTAAGAAATAATCTTGAAATGACATGGATTTCATTTGTATTTTATTCATATCCAGACAAATGTAAGTGAAAATAAGGAGACAAAGTCGAAAAGTTTTTACAGACAAGGCATTTCGCCTTCATGCAGTAGGCGTCTTCATGTTGGAATGAAAGACAAACCTTAGTATAAGGAAAGCGTATTGGAAGTTTCGAGGGAAGGGTAATAAATTTTTGAGGAAGGAGTAATAATTGTTTTGTGTTGGGGGTAATACATTTTTGAGGAAAGGTAATAGATCTTTGTGGAAAGGGGTAATAAATTTCTGAGGAAGGTGCAATAAAGTTTTTAAGGAAGGTGTAATCTTTTTTTAAAGAAGGAGTAATAATTTTTTGATTAAAAATTTCTCAGGAAGGTGTATTAATTTTCCAAAGGAATAAATTTTTGAGGAAGAGGTTATAATTTTTTTGAGGAGTTGGGTAATAAATTTTATGAGGAAGGGGTAATAAATTTTATGAGGAAGGGGTAATAAATCTTTGAGGAAAGGGGTAATAAATTTTTGAGGAGGGGTAATAAATTTTTGAGAAAGGTATAATAACTTTATCAGATCTTACAACCAGAAAGTGCTTTTTTTTTTCATATTCAACATGTTAACATCAGCCGGATTTGAAATTAGTCTTCTCCAAACAGATCCCTTCCTGGATGTACTAACTCATACAGAGAATGGGTTCACAGCATCTGTATATCACAAGCCAACTTTCACTGGACAATACCTCAACTTCAATTCCCAGAGTGTGAAGAAATGGATCATCCAATGCTTACAGCACTGGGCAAAATCATACCATCAAGAAATGATTGGCATTAAACATGCCCTTCAGAAAGGTAATGAACCCCTGTAGAATGAAGTGAAAATACTCGACAAGAAAGAACACTGTCTCCAGACGTCTGAAAGAATCAGCACATATGATAGGCTATGAGGACCCCCTTAGTAGGCCTAGCATAGAAATAAATACAATATTAGAACTGTTAATGAATAAAGAAAGAGAAATGACTGTAAGTCTTCAACAGCAGCAGCAGTCAAAACATGACAGAGAGCAGCAGCAGCCAAGGTTAGGTTTAAGGCTCCAAGTGTACTCCAGAAAATCATCTTACAATTGTCCTATGAGATAATGGCCTTGTGGATTGGTTTATGAATTTGTTGATATATTGGTTAGGCAGTATGTATTTGGTGACATAGTGGTCAGGCAGTATGTATTTGGTGACATAGTGGTCAGGCAGTATGTATTTGGTGACATAGTGGTCAGGCAGTATGTATTTGGTGACATAGTGGTCAGGCAGTATGTATTTGGTGACATAGTGGTCAGGCGGTATGTATTTGGTGACATAGTGGTTAGGCAGTATGTATTTGGTGACATAGTGGTTAGGCAGTATGTATTTGGTGACATAGTGGTTAGGCAGTATGTATTTGGTGACATAGTGGTCAGGCAGTATGTATTTGGTGACGACATAGTGGTCAGGCAGTGTGTATTTGGTGACATAGTGATCAGGCAGTATATATTTGCACTCAACAACAAGTGAAGAGTACAAAGTAAAATAATCTTCACCTGAGGATGCTCAATGGCCAAAACATTGTGATAAAAACAATAAAGATGAAGACAATACTCCAAATATAAATAGTGGAAATAATGATAAGTACCCATTCCAGAAATTCCGATAAAAATGTATAGTTTGAATAAAGTAGATATGATTTCATCTGGTTACAATTTCAAATCCTATTAAAAACTATTACACATGACATTCCAAGACCAGAGATGTAGAAGGTCTTCTTTCTGGACATTAAAATTGAAATTCTTTGAATTCTTTTCTTCCATTTGTTCTTTTAATAACAGTGTAAGCTGAAAAGCAATACTAGTTTATCCAATCTGTTAAAAAAAAACTTCACAGAGAAAATTGATAATTCCTTTGAAGTCACTACTACTATTAGAAGTTTCTGGAGGGATCATCTTATTACTTAACTAGCAGCATGGCCCGGCATGTCTGTGTAACGCATGCATGGCTGCAATTTTCAACAGATTTGCACCAAAATTTACATGCACATGCTCCAAGTTAGTGGAAAGGACAAGATCGACTTTGCATTTCCCAACTCCCATCGATAGTGGAAATAATCGATTTTTTCATGCTTCTACAGCACTTTTCATGTAGTTTGCGGCCATTTTCTACTGGCTAGAGTGAGAGCCTATAGCTGGCTGCCATGAATAGGCAGGAAGATTCTATTGGTCAGCATGAGAGCCAACAGATGACTGACGCAAATGTTAACTAGCATGCTAGCATGCAAAAAAAATTGATAGCTGCATTTGTCACAAGTGGGAAAAATTTAAATCTGCATGTCACTTTACTCCAATTGGCTCATTCGCTTGCTTAAACTCAACTTTGTTTCTGATTCCACAGAACTGGATTGGGCGGACGTTTTATCTTACAAGAAAATTCGGCCAACTAGATCATGAGAATACTAACGAGACATTTTCACATCTAGCCAAAGACATTCAATATTCCTTTTTTTGATTTTTCTTTCGAACCGGAATCAACGGCCAATCCTCCGCCCTACCAACAGTGGGCTTGGGAAATATGCTTTCAATAAAATTAAGAACAACAGGAGAAAGAAACGGCGAAAACAATGAGTCTTTTTTAAAGCTGATCGTTTTGTGTTCATTTTGTTTAGTTCTTTTTTCATAACAGATTTAATGTTTAGTATAGAGCTTAGAAAAAATTCGCAGTGTGAGATAAGCAAGAAGTAAGTCATGTAGCAACCTGAGCATGGCAAAGGGCACTCCGTTAAAGGCAAGGAAGGGCAAAAATATTTTAAGTCAATTGATAGCGATTGCTGTATGAGTTGTACGATTTTTGAATCAGGCACGGGCAACGCCGAGCCATGCTGCTAGTTTTGCTATAATATATATTGTTGATAATTTTGTTATAAATAGGTATTGTTAGTCATTTTTTATATAAATTGTATCGCTATTGTTTTTACTATAATCATTTATTTTTAACTTTCATAGAGTTTTGTTTTTGTTTTTGTTTGCGGGGGGTTTACTCTTTGCCCATAGCTAGGACCCTAACAAATGCTAACACCCCAGGTCATGGTGGACCTGGGAACAACAGCAATTAAGAGGTGTTTCCACACTCCTCAAAAATTTCAATCTCTGGATCAGAGGCCTTGTTGCCGGATATAGTTTATCGTTGTACCCAGGACTAAAAAAAATAAAATAAGTAATATTGGTCTGAAAGAATGAACAGTGTCTGATAAAAATATTCTTTTCAGGATAAACGAATCGGATGCTGTTGCAAACAAAACAGAAGAGAATGGTTCTGTCAAGAATGGACTGAATCCTGACAAGAAGTGTCTGCAAGTGCATTACCTCAAGGTAAGACCATACAATAACGTTTGGCTGCTTTCCTGTATTCACCATATAAAAACAGATTTAATATAGAATTATAATGAAATTAAATTGTGCATCTTGTCATAAGATATTGGTAAACAAGATAGTTTAGCAAGACCATTATATCTATCTAATGATTTTCTTTAGTACAAGGCTCGAGAGTTACTCAAGGTAGAGGCTTACTGTTTAAATGGTTATGATGAATAATAATGATGGTGGAAAGAAAGGAGGTATGGTGGAGTAAACAATAGTGGCTCAGATTGAAAAATCTGAGAGCTGAGTTTAAATTCGAGACGAGTTTGTTACATTCACTTACGTGCAAATACCCTTGGGAAAGGCATGAATCCATTTCTTCTCCCTTCAGTTATGGATTGGGTCTTATAGCCTTGGGTGGCAGCCAGTCTAGAAGAAAGACAACTCTGAAATAAAAATCATATGTAGCCCTGGTAAAGCACCTATTATGAAGCTAATGAAATGATCATGAAGTTTACAATGTGATTCTGACTGCTGTTGGTCTTAATTGATTTGCGGAAATGCAGGATGAGGAGGATGGACAACAATGTTTTTTTTAATCCTTTCACCTGAGGCAATAATGCCAGTAGATCGCAGAGGATTTACATGTCGTGAGAAAGAATGCGAAGACCTTAGTGTGGATCATTAAAGAAAAGACAATAAAGGAATAGGCTTCAAGAAAACAAAAGAGGGTGACATTGAAATTTTTGGTGATTATAGTTATCAGGGAAGCAAAAAATTGGAAGGGTGTTCTTCTGGCAAAGAGGGCAAGAAAAGAAACCAGTAAAGTAGAAGTGACAATTGCATCTTGCTAATAAAACGGTGAGAACCAGTTGCTAATCTAGTAGCATACCTAAATTCATGTAGTCAGGGTACCAAAGAAAAAAAGCTTATGAGAGCAGTTGCCATGAAAATATTTGTAGAAAAATCAGAGAGAAGCTATTATCACATTGGTGGGAAATTGACTGAAGTCAAGATACCTGGTTGGGATGAATTACATTACAGAACCTTCTTTGAATTTTGTCAAGAATCTCGGGATGCATGGTAGGATTACCAGACCAGATATGGCAACCATATTCCCCACACGGACAAATGGTAAATTTATAAATGTGCAAAATGGAAGAAAATTTTTTTGGCACAACAGAGTATACCAGGTTTCCTTGCAGCAGACATAGTAATTGATTTGATATAATCATGCCACTTCACATCAGCAGAAACCATGATGCCAAAAAGGCATAGAGTGTTGCTTTCCTGGAGGTTAGCATCAGCCATGTCAGGCAGAAAATGTTCTATGTAGTGATTAAATGAAAGTAGTTTTGTTTTAGAGGCATTAAAATTTACAAACCATTTCTTGGCGCTGGACTTGAAAAGATTAAAATTGTAGTGTTTAGGAAAGCATCCAGGTGGGATCAATTCATGGGAAAAACCTGTCTCACTTGAAATTTCTCCTCACATTTGGTTGATTAGTTGTTTTTGTTTAGTGGCATATCAATATCTCTATGGGTTCTTTAATGCCAAAATTTAAATATTTGGGTTTTGGTTGGCTGATTTTGTTTAGATGCATATCAACACCTCCATGGGTTCTTTAATGCCGAAATTTAAATATTTGGGTTTTAGTTGGTTGATTTTGTTTAGTGGCATATCAATACCTCTATGGGTTCTTTAATGCTGAAATTTAAATATTTGGGTTTTGGTTTGTTGTTTTTGTTTAGCGGCATATCAACACCTCTATGGGTTCTTTAATGCCAAAATTTAAATATTTGGGTTTTGGTTGGTTGTTTTTGTTTAGATGCATATCAACACCTCCATGGGTTCTTTAATGCCAAAATTTAAATATTTGGGTTTTAGTTGGTTCTTTTTTGCTTAGATGCATATCAACACCTCCATGGGTTCTTTAATGTTGAAATTTACATATTTGGGTTTTGATTTCTTTCTTTTGCTTAGATGCATATCAACACCTCTATGGGTTCTTTAATGCCAAAATTTGAATATTTTGCATGTAATATTTTTTTTTTTAGATAATAATGGTTTTAGTGATACAAGTCTTACTAATTAACCCATAGCTGGGGGAAAAGCAGTGGATTCATACCTTTTGCAAGAATATTTGGACATAATCGAATATAACAAATACAACTAGATTTGGAACTCGGCTCTCCGATTAACAATTCCAAGCCATTACCCATTACACTACTGGACATCCAAGTTTACAACACCTGGTATTCCCAAGTGGTTACCCATCTAGGTACTGATCATGCTCAACATTGCTTAACTTTGAAGATTGTATGGTAATTAGTGTTTCAGCATAATGTGCACATAAGCCTCCTAATATTTGGAATACTGAGGAAAGATATCTTAGTAATAAAGGCCTGAATTGATGGAACTAAAGAATGGAGTAAGTCTTCCATAGAAATGGTGATAGAATAGCGAGAGACTCATGACATTGGGAAAGAGTCTGCAGAGTGAAGAATAAGTCTCCCCCACAGAACCATGGAAATGACCTTCATCTATATCCAGGCTGGAAAGTGTGGACTGAGCACCTCCAGTCCAGATCCGGCAGCAATACTCCATTTTTTGACCCACTCTAGCTCTTGTTAAGATAACCTTTGTAGAAGAAAGTAGGCACTTCCCAGAATAGTAATATCAGCTAACCATTCCCTACCCCATTCTTGCTGAGTGGTCCCACACTTGTGACCATGAGACACACAATGAGGAATGAAGGCTTGGAGAATTTGGCACTCACAGTGCATTGACAGCAAAATGTACAGAGGAAACCAGTAGGCCAGCTATCTGACAAGCTTGTGTAAATAGATAGCGGAATTGGCATGGGAGGCTTGGCAGAAGGACGACTGTTGCTAATAGCTACAAGGGAAAGGATGTTGGGGAGAGCCATGATATCAACCTCCTGGAGTGAGAGATCACATAGAAGAAGAATTATAAGTAAGATTAATTAATAAGAATATAAAATAGATCCCTCACTTTATGTCCACTAGTATCTAATATTAATACCATCATTTTTGAAACCTGTTTTATTAAACTCATTTTAATCTGTACAAGGCCCAAGAGTCATTCAAGGTAGAGGGTTACAGAGTAAGAGGCACCATTTATAAGGATATGTGGGTAAGATAACAATTGACCAAGATTGTAGGGATCATGGAAGCATCCTCTTGAGCGTTGGTTTCAAAAAGCAGTGGTTCAAGTGGAACTTACATTTCACCAATGGTATATGAAGGGAATGAGGGTGGTTCATGACAATGTGTGTAAAGGTGAGAACTGGTGGAACTAAGGGACGTAATTTGTCTAAACTCTTACCATGGAAATAGCAAAGGAGCAACAAGAGAATTGTGACTATTTGTTTGTGGGAAAGGGATTGTATTGTGGAAAATAATTCATCACCCACAAGGACACAAAGATGCTTTTGAGCTGGAATCTGAAGTTGGGGCACCTCTTGTCCATATATACAGCAGTCCTCCATTTTGGGCTTCATCTGCTCTCATAAAGGTATAGGATATCAGGAGGAGTCTGGTACTGAATGGAGTTGTACATAGAAGTAAAAATATTTCCTGCAACTTTAGTGATAGATTGTATGTACAAGTTCCAATTGAGGTCTGGGTTGAGTAAGTTTCAATAGGTGTTCAAGGCCCAGGACATAACTGAGAGAACATCTTGAGGACATCTGTCTATGAATTTCTGGATATTATAAACCTAATGGCACAGTGGATAAAGACATCCAGTGACAGGACCCAAAGAGTGTGAGTTCAATACCTGGTTAAGGCAGTGGAGAAATTTCAGTGAGAAATTAACAGGAGATAACTAATAACTGATATCCATTAAACATATCACATGGAACTAGAACAGTCTACCCATGGGAGTGAAATAAAGGGTTAAGTTCGACATTCCAACCACCTGAAGAAGGCCGGAGCATACAACAGCCAAAATGCTGTAATAAATATGGTGACAAAGATGAGGACAATAGTCCGAATAATGTAAATAATGTACATAATACCTCATCTCAGAAATATAGAAAGAAACTGTTAGTCTAGAACTTACAGTTAGATCATTTCAACTGTAAAATTATGAGACCTAGCTGCCAATCTAGTACTGACCTTAAATTCATAAAATCTTGGTGCCATAGAGGAAAAGTCATCAGAACAATTACTATGAAAGTATTTATAGGGAAAATAAAAGGAAGCTACATTACAGCAGTGGTAATGTGACTGAAGCCGAGATGCTAGTATTCAAGGTGTGGACAAATGATAGACTAATAAATATGTTAGATAGATTCTGGTTGGAAAAATTGTCTAGAATGACACAGTAAACCAACTTTTCTATCTGCAGACTTAGGAATTGATTCAATATATTTGTTCTACTTTATGTTAGTGGAAAACGTTAGTCCCAGAAGGTGCACTGAGTCACTCTCGTGGAGGTTAGCATCAATGATGATAGGTAAAAAGGTTTCTCTCAGATGATAATGAACAGTTTCATTTTTGAGGTGTGAAAATTAACAAGCCACTCCTTGTCCCATTTAACAACAGATTAAAAAAAAAATTGTTTTAACAAATAAATTAAAAAACAAATTGTAGATATTTTTTGAGATCAGCTGCTAATTTGACCTTATCGAACCGATCAGACTTACTATTAATATAGTAGCAAATAGTTTTGTCATCAGTATAGATACCAAGTTCAAAACTGATGACATCCTCCTTTAGAAGCAAGTTTCTGTTGCTTCAAGTCTCTTCTTCAACTCTGTGGAGATTGTCCAACATTCACTGCTGTATCGGAGCTATTTTGTAAAAAAAAAAAAAATGTATACAAACACTTTTTTTTTTTCTTCCAGGGTTATTTTCTTCTACGATTCTTTTCCCAAAAAGTCGGCCTACCACACTTCAAAATTTTCCTCAGAAAATATGTCCACCATTTCCATGGTCAGCTGGTCTCTTCCCAGGTATTTAAATCTCGTTTTTTCTTTCATTGTTTTTCTTAAACCAGAATCATTTGCATGCAAGAAATATTTGAACACATTGGATCATGAAGAGATATTTTGCAAGTTGGAGCTTTATACAAGTCAAGCAGTTTTGGGTAGATATTACAGAAGTATTTGCAAAATCTGCAAAATCTAATATATAAAGCTCAAAGTTTGTGCATCTGCCCCAAACCTGAAATATTAAATAACCATAAAGTTGATTTATCTGCACATACATAAGTGCAAATAATGCATAAAACTCTTACATCAAATAAATACAAATTTACTATTTTATATTTACCAGCATGTGTCTTATATCTCGCCCAACTAAGTAGTGTATGTGTGTATGCATAAATATTACATAAAACTGTAACATCAAATAAATGGGATTTTATCCTTTATATCAACCAGCATGTGCCTTATATCATGTCCATATGTATGTGAAAATGCGTAAATCTCTATCTATAAAAGGCAGGATGTCTGTGTGTGTGTGTGTAACGAATGCACGGCTGCAATTTTCGACGGATTAGCACCAAAATTTACATGCACATGGTCCAAATTAGTGGGAAGGCCAAGACCAACTTTGCATTTCCCAACTCCCATCATAATTGATTTTTTCATGCTTCTACGGCACTTTTCATGTAGTTTGCAGTCATTTTCTACTGGCCAGAGTGAGAGCCTATAGTTGGCTGCCACGAATAAGCAGGAAGATTCTATTGGCCAGTGTGAGAGCCAACAGCTGACTGACACGAATGTTAACTAGCATGCTAGCATGCAAAAAAAATTGATAGCTGCATTCGTCACAAGTAGGAAAAATTTAAATCTGCATGGCACTTTACTCCAATCGGCTCATTCGCTTGCTTAAATTTAACGTAGATTCTGATTCCGCAGAACTGAGTTGGGTGTGAAAAAAGTATTTTTTGTTAACATTCTTTTTTCATTCGGTTTTTCCAGTTACGAGTCCTTTTTTAAAGCTGATCGTTCTGTTTTCATTTTGTTTAGTTCTTTTTTCGTAACAGATTTAATGTTTAGTATAGTGCTTAGAAAAAATTCGCAGTGTGAAATAAGCAAGAAGTAAGGCATGTAGCAACATCAGCACGGCAAAGAGCACTCCTTTAAAGGCAAGGAAGGACAAAAATATTTTAAGTCAAGTGATAGCGATTGCTGTATGAGTCGTATGATTTTTGAATCAAGCACGGGCAACGCCGGGCCATGCTGCTAGTATTACGTAAAAATGTCCATTTCAGCAGTGTATGTGTATATGCGTAAATATTACATAAAACTGTAGCTTCAAATAAATGAGATTTTATCATTTACAGTGGTCGGTGGAAAAGTTCATAGACTGACCAAGATTGAAATGTAAGTAGTCACACCACTTGATAGACTAAAAGACATGCAAGTGTACCAGAATACAGCAGTTGGTCAGCCAACCGTATATCTTGATCAGCCTATCGACTTTACAGCCGACCCTCATATATCTAACTGGATGTGTTTTATTTCTTACCCAACTAAGCAATGTATCTTTGAATATTACATAAAACTTTGTCATCAAATAAATGTGATTTTATCATTTATATGTATGATTGAGATTTGTTTCATGATTTTCTTTGCGATGCGCTTTCGAATGATATTTTTAATCATCCAGTTGAGAAATGTGCTGCTGAGGTCACTTCCTGAGTGAAAACTGACATCAAAGCATTCATGCCAGTATGGAAATACCAACTATAATTTTCTCCTTGGTTCTCTCCTGCCTGTTCAGCCGCTATAGCCCACAGGAATCACTTCTTCCAACTATACCAGAGTGACTGTACCAATTGTCACAGATATCTCTTTGCTCGTAATAAGTGCAATGTCCTCAAAGAAACAAAGTCACTATTTGCTGATAGAATGAGACACGGTATAGTCTCTCCCAAGTTTGGTTCTGGAGATTACTAGTAGCTTTACAAGAGTATGCTGAACAAAAACAAATCCCCAGTCTTCTCTCTCTTCAGTTCATTTGACCATCCTGGGTATGAAGATAAACTACATTCACGTCCAAGGTAAGGCGTTAAATTACATTCAACAGCAAGGCCTCTGATCAGGTGGCTTTGAGGAGTGTGGTACCACCTCTTAATTGCTGGTGTTCCCAGGTCCACTCTGACCCGGGGTCGTAGCACCTGTTAGGGTCCCAACTATGGGCAAATAGTTAACCCTGAAACTGAGGTAAAAAGCATTTTGAAAATGTAAAAATAGGTTTTAATACCAGAAATATTTTGTAAAAAATTATTACCAGAAATAAATTTATGAAGAAAAAAAAAAAATTACCAGCAATATGTTTTTGAAATAATAATATTACCAGCTATACAATTTTGAGGAAAAAAATATTACCAGAAATAGATTTTTGACAAAACAAAAATATTACCAGGAAAAAAAAGTTGGCGGTTTTAAATGACCCATTCAAGACCAAAGTTGCTTGTAAAGCATGAAACCAGAAGAGAGTTTCATAAGTGATAAGTGTGAGAAAAGTGACTGTTAGCATAAAACTTATGGTTACATCTAGCCAAATTGACTGTCAGGACCAATAATATTGCTGATTCTTCTTTGGATTTTATCTCATACTAGCAGTAGAGCCGGGGATGTAACAGTAAGAGATAGATCAAGTATCGACCATCATAAAGACTGAAACATAAAATTGACAAAGATTATTATTTAAGGGTGACGGACACGCATGTCTTAATTAGTTTTTTTTTTTTTATGAATTGGTCAAACTCAAACAAAAACATTGTTTTCAATCGTTATGAGTCTAACTTGAATAGATTTTTATTATAAACAATTGTCTTGTAAATGGAATTTTTAAAGCCTTCTGAATGTAAAAATAAAGAAAAAAGTTTGCAAGACAATAAGAAACACTACCTGCCAAAAAAAAATAAAGTTTTGTTGAAATCGGTTGAAAAATGTAGGAAATCCAATTCCATATATAAACGAACACACACACACACACACAAACAACCTAGGTTTTATAATAAGTATAACTTGATATGAGTTGTCCCCCTTTCATTCTCGTGATGCCTCTTAATGGTGTTTTCAAATTGATTTCGTGCAAAAACAATTGTGTTTTTCCAATTTTTTCCACCGCAAGGTAATTTTATGTAGTCCTGTGAAGTTTTGTTGAAATCGGTTGAAAAATGTAAGAAATCCGATCCAATATATAAACGAACAGACACACACACACACACACAACCTGGGTTTTATAATAAGTATGATCTCCAAATATATAACAGGAGCTCTGGTCTATATGTGGCATCAGTATTCGAAGTATGAACAAATGGTAATCTTATAGATATGTAAGATAGATTCTAGAGAGAAAAATTGTCTAGCATGACATAGTGAACTAATTTACTTAGCAGTTGACCTAGCTTTGTTTTATTTTGGTATCTCCGATTTGTAATATGCATATTGGTCTGTTTCTTTTGCTTCGCACTTTCCTTCACTACCTTCTGTAGGTATTCTTGTTTCCTTTCTGTGACGCAATTATAAATGATTAGACTATTATTACAAATCAAAATAATGTTTGTTTGTTTTGTTTTATGGCATATCGACATCTCAATGGGTTATTTAATACCGACAAGATTTTTATTGCTGGTAATATTTCTCTTTTTTTTTATCAAATGTATTACTGGTAACCTTTTTTCCTTCAAAAATCTATCTCTGGTAATATCTTTTCTTCAAAATTGTATTGCTTGTAAAATTTTTTTTTTCAAAAAAGTATAGCTTTCAAAAAAATGTATTGCTGGTAATAATTTTTTTTTTCTTCAAAAACTTATTTCTGGTAATACCTTTTTCACAAAGTAATTCTGGTATTAAAACCTATTTTTACACTTAGTTTGGGGGTTAACTATTTGCCCATAGCTGGGACCCTAACAGGTACTACCACACCAGGTCAGGGTTGAACGGGGAACACTAGCACTTAAGAGATGTTTCCATGCTCCTCAAAATCTCCTGATCAGAGGCCTTACTGTTAGACATAGTTTATCGTCTTACCCAGTACGCGGATGTAGTTTATCGTAATTTATCCTGATCCAGGATGGTCAAAATCATGTTTAAATATTAAATAAAAAAAATTGCTGAAAAGTTGTCAGCTCAACCCATTTCCCCAAATCTGACTGAACATCAGAATTTATTTTGCAAAGCCATCTTTGTCTGGCTGAGAACTTTTCTGCAACCTCTCTTATGCTATAGATCTGTTATACCATGAAAATATAGTAATACGATGTCTAATCAAAAAGTATTAGGACTGGGGTTATAAAAAAAAAAAACTACAATGCATATCAATTCAGCATTTAATCACCTTTGAAGTAGTCCTCTTCTGAAGCTACACACTTCATCCAGCATTGTTTCTATTGATGGAAGCATTCTTGGAACTTCTTTATTGGGATAGTGAGCATTGTCTTGGATTTTCTTGATGTCTTCAAATCTTGTATCTTTCAAGATTTTTGATTTGGAAGAAGTCGCAAAGGGCAAGATCTGAGGAATATGGCAGTCGTCGGACCTGGGGAATGTTGTCCTTCACTCAAAACTGTTGCAATAGGCCATGGTCACTGATGGAATCTCTGTTGTGTGCTGAGACAGCCACATTCTACACACTTTTCTTTCAAGCATTACTATAAACAATGGGGGTGGGTGAGAACCTTATAACTTAGTGTGTATGCATGAGTCAGTCTGTGCTAAGTGGCTTCACTCTGCGTACTTTAGCTTCATTACAATAGCAACAGTTCCGATATTTTTTGATCAGACTTCATATAAACAATCAATATACTTTTCTTATTACATACTGTGACTCCCATATTTAAGAATGGAAACTATCCCAACTAATTTGTTTTGTTTTTCTTATTGGTAAACTTGTTATCTCTGACTATGGAAACACATAAGTGAAATAGAAATTCAATAATTATTTCTCATCTTTATTTCTGAAGCAAGGGAAAATTAATGGCAATTTGCTCCAACTGGCTTTGACATCAAACTCTTGCTGAAACTTATATTTTTTTTTTGTTTTAGGATTTTCTACAGTTATTATTTAAAGAATTTCCCAAGTTACGGTAAGTTAAGATATTTGCCATTTCCAAAAAGTTCTGTTTTGAAACTGTTTAACCCATGCCTAATAGGTTAATGAAGGGCGTTCAAAAGTCCGTGAGATCAGTATAGGTCCCTATCGAGGCTCCCCTCTCAGTCCCAACCTCTTTCTGCTTCTTTTTGTCCTTAATGTGAGTTAAAATCTGTGGTTAGCCTAAGGCCTAATAGGCATTCAAGGCAATAGAGCCTCCTCGAGAGATCACCTGTTCATTGTGATGATGGAACGTCACTAGCTTGGTTTTCATTTCAGATACTGAGCTAAGCATTTCTGAGCATCTTTAACAATGGATTGTATACATGGGTTCCATTTAAGATATACAGTGAGATTGAAACCTGAGGGACATTTAAGTTAAGGAGTTTTGATGAAAGTGCAACCATTCATGGTTTTGACTTACTTATCAATCAACCCTCGTAATTTTCAAGAGAAATAAATTGACTTCATTTTGATACCAGTTTCATTATTCTATCTGGTCTAAAACTTGTTTTATAAGATTGGAGACCTTACTTATCAATCAAAACTCATAATTTTCAGGAGAAATAAATTGATGAGTAAGATTCACTGGTCACTAGTTAACATCTATGCAAATGGTATCACAGACTTTGGATGATGATCGAATCATATTTTTTTTTAATTAATACAGAACCTGGTATTTCTAACTGGTCACTTATTGATGTACTGACCAGACTCGGTGATCATATGAGAACCAGTATTTCAACATGTTATGGCCATAGGCCATTTATGTCACTCATGTTGAATATTGGTTAATGCAAGTGGTTTGACATGCAGGTAGACTGGTGTAGTCATTTGAAATGGAAATATATTTATTTTGTAAAAATACAAAATTGTGGCACAAGGCCAAAGGGAAAAGGCTGGTCTTTCACTAACTTTTCTAGGTAATCACAATCATGACCCATTCATTCATTCATTGCAATTGCACATTCACCACAAGAACTCATCCATCACCTTTCAATCCTGCACCCACCACAATACCACATATTCACAAGGGTCCTACAAAACCCCCCATGATGTAAAAATTTGTAATGTTCATATATATATATATGTATATATATATAAAATGAAACATAAAATGATGGGGAGGGGAGATGAACCCAGACAAGAAACTCAAAATATAAACCAAAGATAAAATAAAAACAAAACAATGTTAGTAGGAACTGTCCACTCCTCAAAACAAAAAGAGTGACCACTATATTCTGTCAATAGACAGAATCAAGAAGCACACTCACTAATGGAATGGAGAGTGAAAAATAAATGACATGGGAAAATCAAAGGCTGACTCAGCCGAGATGAAAAAAGGTGACAAAAACAAACTGGGGAGATTGGGAATCTCGACATGGATCATAACAAGAGAGAATGCCGGGAAACAGGCCAAGAACAACACTTATTCGCATTAACTAGGAAAACAAAATAGTGTCTAACTTAACCAGGTGAAGGGGTCCACAGGAAACTGCCCTGTTGCGTTCAGGGGACTTAAAAAAAATCAAGGCTATCCCCATCCATATGAACCAGGCTCACCTCCATTACCCACCTTTCATTGAAATCTATGAAAATCAAACGTTTTCAATCAGATCTGATGCAAAATCGATGGACATGAGCCGATTAGGATTGATATGAGTCATCAACTCGCCAGAATAATCCCAGAAAGGACAATGGTAGAAGGCATGCAAAGCCGTTTCCTCCAATGGTAAAAGGCATGCAAAGCCGTTTCCTCCAAACCAAGGTCACACCAATGACAATCTGACAAATCTGCCTCAGCCCATCTGAAGAGTATGTCATTGAGAGGTAGCATGTTGCGAATCAATCGCTGAGATAATCCACCACTGGCGCCCAAGACCAAAAATGAGTGCAACTCTGATGGCAACAAGCCGAGCCGGTTACACAAAGGATCCGTCATGACCCCCTCCACTAATTCATGATACAATAGTCTCCGACACTGAGAAAGGTCACTGGACCGAGGAATGACCTTCAAGGCCAACACTCGCTGAGGAAACTCAACAAACTTCCATGAGCGCGACGCCGCTTACCTCAAGAAATGGGAGGAGTGATGGTAAGGCTAGAGAAGGTGTCCCTAACACTCAGCAATCCCATCCCACCCCCCATGACACAGACGCTGGTAACAGCCCTCTTTACAGACCCAATGTTTGCAACCACCCCACAAAAGGATGACCAACAAATGCTCGATCACCTCCATATGGGTCCAGCAAAGATGAAGTACAGCCAAGCAGTAAAGGATGAGGGGCAAGACAAGTGGCACATGCCTCTGCCCTACCCTTTAAGGACAACCCCCTTTGAAGCCAAGTCCAAACCGACACTCTGACCTTTGCCTGTACTTCTGACCAATTCTTCTTCAGCCGGAGTCCAGGTCAGAATCCCACCCAAAGCATGTGGGCGGGATCATCAGTCCATCCGAAGGCCTCCGGATTGTGACCCCCTTCCAAGCACCTAACTGCAAATCGGAAGACTTGTTGCAGTTAATCTTGGCTCCAGTCATCTTTTGCACCACCTTAATGTTGCTTCGACACAACATGAAAATGGAGATACATCATCAGCATATGCAGAAACCCTAGCTTGAGGACTACCAGGGAAAATGGCGATTCTGTTTAGGGCTGGACTGCTCGCCCTGTCCCTTAGCCGGCAAAGGAAGGGCTCCAATGCCAAAGCAACAGTGGGAACCCCTGTCAGACTGACCGAGTCAGTGCTAAAGCACTCAGCCACCTTTCATTCACCTGCACCACAGCACTGGAGGAGCGATACAGGAGGCTAATCCACTTGCAGAAGTTGGGTTTGAATCCAGCAGCCTGCAGGACAGCAGCCAGGTACTAATAGTCAATCCTGTGAAATGCCTTGGACTGATCCAAATTGATCAGCACGGCTCATTCGTCATCTTTTACACCCTCTATGATCGTGCAGATCAGATGCAGGTTGCTTTGAATTTGTTCATTCCCTCACAGCACAAGTCTGCTCGGGTCCCAACAAGCTTGCAACAACTAATTGCAATCTCTTTATCAGGATCTTGGCCAAAATCTTTAACTCAGTGTTTAGCAGAGTTATGGGCCTGTAATCTAAATCCTGCCCAACACCCTTGCTCTTTTTTAACAGCGTGATCACACCCCTGGAAATCAGGTTGGGGATGGACCTCTGCTGGAACCAGTTGTTGAACACCACTGTCAAATTTGGGACAAAGATTTGCGACAGCCTCAAGTGCATTCGTAGGGCAGACCATCAAGTCCCGCAGACTTGCCTCTGCTGACCTTCTTCAATGCCAAGTAGACTTCACCCTCCATGATTTCACTCTCACTGCTAGCCGCTTCAGTTGGCGAAAGCTGAGGAAAGTCAGCCAAATAGTTGAGAAACTCGTCGCCACTGAGACCAGGCTCCTTGGTAAAGCGTCTCACTAAATGCCACTGAAATGCCTCGCACATGTCCTTGGTCGATCTCATACAGCACCCCTCTGGTGTAATGTTACTCTCCAGTGTAATGACCTTGCAAATGTATTGATTGGAACCTTGATGGATCTCTTCTTTGCACAATTCTGCGCCCATGTTCACAGCTTCATTAGACATCTTGTTTAACCTATGTCTAACTACCTGACTATGATAGTGCGTGCTAGCCTCATGCTTCAGAGCCTGCCTAGCTATGGCTATCTCTAGAGAACTTCAACCCCCAGCCACCACCCGGGACAGACTATCCTCTCGAGTCTTCACCTTTTTAGCCTTATCTAGAGCGAGTCGTTGGCTATATTCAGTGGTGAAGGATCTCATCCTATCCTTAAGCCTCTCCCACCACTTACTCCCAATAACCACCCCCACTAATTCCCGCTGCACTAATCTAGTCAGCTGTTGCTAAAAGTCCTGCCTATCTAGTAAGGACAGATTGAATTTCCAGTGTCCAGTGATTCTAGGCCTTGTACCTAACACCATCCGGGCACAGACGAGTCTATGATCCCAATAGCCTACACGGTGTAACGTGGGACAATCTAGTAAATCTAGATCAACCCTTCTCCCTAACATTCTATCCAGGTAGCTGGAGAGGGTAAAAATAAATGTCGGAATGAAAAAATCCAGGGTTGACCTAGCCGAGATGTTAAAAGCGGGGGAACAAACAGTGTAGATTCGGAATCTCAATAGGGATCATAAAAAAAAGTGAATGCCAGGCACAGGCCAGGAGCAATACTCATTAACATTATCTCGGAAAACAAAACATGACTGACTAAACCAGTAGAGCGTTCACAAGAAACCGCACCATCGCCTTAAGTGGACTTAAAAGAAAAAATCACAGCTAGCCCCATTCACATGAAACAGGCTTGCCACAGTCACCCACATTTCCCTGAAATCTGTCAATATCAAATGCTTTCTATCAGATCTGATTTTTACCCTAAGCTGATGCTCAAAAAAACAACCAGAACCTGATGCAAATATTGTTAATATTGCAAGATTCCCTCCTGCCATGACGTCCACACCACCATTCTTGCTACGGCTAGCATTGTTACATGCATACACAAGATCAATGGACACAAGCCAATAATGATCAATATGAGCTGTCAACTCACCAACCTAATCCCAGGGTGCACCTGAGACAATGGTAGAAGGCTTGCATAGCCATTTCCTCTAAGCCAAGGTCACATTAATGACAGGCAAATCAGCCTCATGCCATCTGAAGGTTATGTCATTGAGGAGTGGCATGTTCCAAATCAATTGCCAGGGTTGTTGATATAATGTGCTGATGGCACCCAAGATCAGAAAGAGTGCAACTCTAATGTCAGCAAGTCAAGCCGGCCATGTAGAGGATCCTTCACGACCCCCTCCACTAATTCATGATACAATAGCCTACAAAGCCGTGAAAGACCACTGGACCAAGGAAAGACCTTCAAGGCTGATTGACATTTGCTGAGGAAATTCGGCAATCTTCCACAACCATGATAGTGCTTAGCCCAAGAAATGGGTGGAG